CCCTAAATGACAATGGCGGTTGTGTCATATACATTTATCAAAATGCACCGGAAATTAAGCAGACCCGAAATGATTTTAATTTGTGCATTGCCAGGAAAGGCTTTTAAAAATATGTTTTCGTGTTGTTTGTAAATTTTTGGTTTAATAGCTTAGGGCTGAAATGCCGATATTCGAGAGGCAGAAGTCGCGAGGGGCGGAAGTCAAGGAAGGGAGACTTGAGGCAAAAGGTGGGTAATTCAGTTTCCCCTGCGTCAGGATGTAGGTGACTGCGAGTCTCCTTCAAGCAGCACCGCGCCTTCAACTGATCTGCCAATCACAGGGGCCCGCCCAGTCTGTGTGCTTTCCTGGCTGGGTCTGCCTTTGCTTCCCAGGAGCAAGAGGCAGTTGCTAGTCTTGTTCACCCTGCCCCTAGGCCTGGAGCTCAGTCCTTTTCAGGATGCCCTAGAAGGTGACGGGGAGCATAGGGACCTTTTCTGGAGGTGGGATGTGCCTGCGGTTAGGATCTGTTTCAGAGGCCAGGTCCTGAGGCCCAAGAGCTACACCGGTAAACACCGGAGACCTAGAAGGTGGAGGTGGAAGCTGACTGCGCGCCCTGCAGCCGCTGAATACTGTGGCCTGTAAGATTGAGGGGAGGCTGACCCCACCTTGGTGAGGGCCCCCGCGATGCCGCCAAGTGACCACCCTGTCCATGCCGGGTGGCAGGGCATGCGAGTCCGCAGGGCTGAGGGTGCTTGGGTGGGAAGTCTGCAGTGTCAGAGGGTGGCGGTGCGTTTGAGGGGTGCTCTTCCTGGCCTCAGGGACACCTTCTCTGCAGGCTGAATGCGGTGACCCCCGCGGTGGCGCTGCCTCATTGCGGCCCGGGTGAGCGGCGCCCCCTGGTGGCGGACCGCGACAGCGGCGCTGGCGAACGCTGGTCACGCTGCAAGAACAGGGCCGGACACCGCTCTTTGCCTGGAAGTCAGACCAGCTGCATCCCATCTCCCCATCTCGCGATTCTAAGTGCGAAAGCACGAAGGGCCCGTCTTTCTCTGATCTTTCAAACCCCTCCCGACTTTGGGAGCCCTTCTGGAATTCCAGTTGCCTTTTCCCAGTACTAGCCCAGGGGAGGGCGCTCTTGTCATTTCGAGAGCAACCCCCCTCTCCCCCCGCCACTCCCCGCGTTGCTCTTCCGTAGGCTTCTGTTTAAGAAGGTACAGTCTAATGCTTGTCCCTATCTGAGACCTCTGAGGAGGACACGGAGATTTGGGGACAGGGTACGTTTTAAATGATGTACTACTGGGAGATCCAAAGGGAAGTTTAGGGGAGCCTGAACAGAAGACCTTTTAGAATAAGCTGCCCCACTTGGCTCTGATTACAGCGCTGGGGCTCCAGCTGGGGAGAGAGAAGGTGGGAGGGAGGGTGGGGAGCCAGCTTCTGCTGAAGCAAGGGAGGGAGGCTGCCCCAGGAGGAAGCTCCTTGGGAGGATGGCTCTTCTGCTCTCTGGGGTGTCCCTTCCAGGGCCCCGGGGCAGTATTTTGAAGTAGAAATGCTTTCCTGGGACTGGTTGGCTAGCCTCGAAGGCCATTCTCGAGGCATTTGGTGGGCAGAGAACCGCTCTGACTCCAGTTTCATGACTTGGTCTAAGCTAACCTTGAAGGACTTCAAAGGGGCTGCTAAACCTAGACCCTACCCCTCTCCTGGCCTCCTCTGCGCTCCTTCAGGTTCCCCGATCAATGAGCTCTCAGAATGTGCACACGTTTGCTCGCCTTCCTACCTCTGTTCACAACTTTGTTGGCCCCTCCGCCTACACTTTTGACCCTTGAAATCAGCCCTAGCCCATTCTCTGATTTCTCAGCTGACCTCACAGCATTTGGGTCTTTGCCCAATTCCTACCCTTGCTCAGGGTATACACCCTGCAAAGTGAGGGAATGTGCCGTGTCTGCTCCTTGTACATACCAGGTACTAAACAAAGTGTTATTGACAGCTGGAAGGGACCTCCCTTATCTATCTGTGGGATGTGACGGTCGGTTGTACTGGCCTCACAGTTCAAGAAGAAGCTCGGGTGAGACCCTTCCCCTGGAGATAAGCTCCTCCCCTTGGAGGGCATGCTTAACCAGCTGTCCTCCCCCCAGCTCCTCAGCCTGCTCAGCCTTTGCCCAAATCCCTGCCAGCTAAAGATTAGAACCGTGATCTCTCTCAGCCTTTGCTCCATCGTTTTTGCCTCTTCTGAGCCCATCTTCTTCCCCACGTTCCCATCACCAGGTCAGCCTTGGCCTTGCCTAGGTATCATCTTTTCACCTCTGAGGACCAGTTGTGGGTGCTTCCTACCTCTCTGGCTCTCCTCATCCCTCTTGCAACAGCCTGGCGAGGCTAATCGAAGGGTCTCAGTGAGCATATTGGTAGATATGCTAGACTCACTCCCTGTGGTGGAAGATTCCAGTCTAGCATTTGTCTAAGTCTGCTCCCTCTTCTGAGCACAGAGCTGTACCTGTACAGCAGTTAGGTAGCGCCCCGAGACTAGTTCTGGCCACGAGCCTGGGAACAGAAGGACTCTGTGCTTCTTCTGCCTAAAACATTTGCTTACCAATGCGAGACCTTCTCAGCTTTCTTCCCTGCCTCATTAACTGTGGATTGATGAAACAGAGGTACCTCAAGTCCAAATAGCTGGCATACTGAGCCCGCCTTGGAAGCCACCGCCCTAGAGAGGCCACCCAAACAAGCCGTGGGCTTTGTGCAAACAAGAGATAAATGTGTGTTGTGTCATGTGACTGAAGCCTAGCCAAGCCTATTCTGGGTGATTTGAGGAGTTTGTTAAATGAATGCATGGCTTGGCAAACTGTAATGATCTAGCACATTTTATTATTGTTATCAAAGTGTAGCAGGTACCTAGGGAACAGGGAGTTTAGCAAGGTAGTGAGCCCTGTGTCCTGTGGCCACTGTACAGAGCTGGAAATGGGTGTGGAGACTGATAAATGGGCAGGGCATGCCATGAGAGAAAAGCTCTGTCTCATTAATGATTTGCCAAGGGCCTGCCTGGAACCTGTTTACATATTTAATCACCGATGAAAGGTTAACGAATTTGGCCCTGTTGGCAGGGGATGGACAGTTTCCCTCTGACGTTTGGTTCCTGTGGCTGGGAAAGATGGGATTTTTCTCCTGGATCTGCAAAGATTCCCAGCCCCCCTCTCTCCTCCTCTCACACATGCCTCTGCCAGTCTCTCTGGGAGGCTGCAACACAGTGTTTTAATGTCAAGCTGATACTAATTCAGGACCTGTTTAGCTGCGCCTCTCCATCTCTGGAAGTGTTGAAGGCAAATACAACATGCCTTTGTTTCTTAAGCAAGAACATGCCAACCAGTTCCCAGATGAGCATGGGCCCCAAAAGGCCTGTCTGTGTACCTCACTCTCACAGCTCTGCATGTCAAAGCCCTCTGCTCTTTGGCCCTTTCCTCTATGTCTGTTCTTTACCTTGCAGTACCCATAGGGATCACTGGATCTTGTCTGATGAGTAGTTATGGAATTCTTAGAATACTTAGGTGGGTAAATGAACATCCAACTTACATGACTTTAAAGAGATTCCTCCACGTCCATCTCACGAGTCAATGAACTTAGAAAAAAGGAGGCCTTCTCACTACCCAAGACTCCCCCTCACCTCAGAAGGAGAGAGGGGGTTGGGGCAAATGGAAAGAGCTGGGCAGCCTGGCTAGTTATTTGTATGATGTGAGCCTTGCTAACTGCTTCCTTGACTTTGGATTTCTCATTTTCTTCCTTTCCTTTCCTTTCCTTTCCTTTCCTTTCCTTTCCTTTCCTTTCCTTTCCTTTCCTTTCCTTTCCTTCTTTCCTTCCTTTCTCTCTCTCTCTCTTTTCCTGAGACTGGGTCTCCCTATATAGCTCTGACTATCTTGAACTCAAAATATAGATAAAGGTGGCCTTGAAATCACAGAGATCTGCCTGTCTCTGCCTCCCAGGTGCTGGGATTAAAGGTACACTCCACTGTGCCTGACTAAGAGTCTTTATTTTCAAATAGAACCCAGAGACTAGTGTGGCCTTCATCATGTACTGTCTCGAGGAACCTGGCAGAAGGCTTTGGACCAAAAGATACTTAATAGAGATCTCCCTCTCATCTTCCAGGAAGAGCCAAAGGATGGCAAACCCTTCATTTCCTGGTTCTCTGGTTCCTCCCATGGAGGCTGGATGGTACAAGAAATATGGGTAAAGATGGTGAAAAGGGAAGGGTTTCCTGGGGCTGGGTGGGGTGGCAGGAAAAGATATAGCTGTGGTTGTGCCCAGGTCGGGGGCTGGGATCCTGAGTCCTACTCTACAGGGTCTCTGAACTCCATGGAGAAGCAAGGAAAAGAGACCAAAGACATACTATGGCCTTCGTACATGAAACATAAAGGCACCCCTGGTGGATAATCCCCATGGTCAATTTGACTGGATTTGAATCTAATGCACCAGTGACCCACCACCCAGGGCTCGAGGGCTAACTTCATCTGCCTGGAAGATGGAATTTCTGGATCCCTTTTACAATCGCAGACATGGACTTCGGCTTTGTGCAGGGTGTTTCTGCGTTTTAATGGGAATCTCGAGCAGGATACACTCAAGGAAGTCTGCGGCGCTTTGTTCTCTAATTGAAAAGAAAGTGAGCTCTTTATAGCCCCTCTGGCATTTGGGAGGCAAGATTTGCTGGCTGGTAGTAAACGATCAATTAAGATTATGTTATTCACAGATATAGTGTTTGTGACCAAGCTCATTCATTGCGGAATATGAACTCAAGGGCCTCCCGAGAGCCCATTCCCATGAGTCGATGACACTGGCCTGCGTGGAAAGCAAGCCAAAGGCCCATGCAACAACCAGCAATGTTTGCAGCCTGCTTAGCACCAGGCAGATGGCATTGATAGTGACATAGCCTCCTTGGATACAGGCCTCTAAAGGTTGAAGCATGGGCATTTCTTTGTCTAGAAGGTACAAATTCTGCCTGCTCTCTAATAGACCCACAACAGCACAAACTCATAACCAACTTACACCCATAACAAAATTATAATATATTAATAGCAATATAATAAAGGCTTGGGGGGGGGCAACCAATCTTTCAGAACCTGAAGGATGGCATTCATTGTTTGTGAGGTTTGCTGAAGGCCGTGCCTTCAGAATCCGGCTAAGTTGCAGTGAGGAAGCCCAGGGTTAGTTGTGGAGAATCATGTTCCAAGCAGAACCGTTGTGCATGCTGAAACTGGCTCAAGAGATTGTTTGGCGCCTCCTCCTTCGCAAGATCTGGGGAAATGAGCCTGGGGAGGCTTCTGAGAGAATGCTGTTGGTAATGCTGGCTTCCATGAAGACTTCAGTCTCGCAGTAGTAGCTTGGCTGCACTGACCCAAACCTGTTAGCTTCTCACCACAGAAGGTGTTTCTGGAGGGCACTGAAATGTCACATGGGGCAATGACAATTGCCTAGCCACTTCGGCGGCACAGGGAACCAGCTCTCCATCTCACACAGGGTCAGAAGCTGAGTCGGTCTGGTAGAGCCCCTAAATGGCATGGCTGCTCAGGTCAGGATCTTCTCTGCCAATCTTTGGGCCCTTGAGGAGCATGACAAGCACATGAGTGTGCCCCTGCTGCCCACTAAGCGCTCTGTGGGAGGAGGTCCTAGTGTAAATGGAGGTGAGACTTACACGGAGTTCTTAGGGAAACACGAAGATCACTGCTCAGCCCCGAGTCAGTCTCCAATATGCAAAACTGTTGGTAAAAGGCTTCCTCCCTGGGCCTCTGCCTTTGGCTCTCTGTTATAAGAGTGGTGCCCCCCGCCCACCTCCCTCTAAGCCAGGTTCACAGAAGATGCCCACCTCCACCCAGAGGTAGTGAGAAGAAGCTGAGAAAATGCTGACGAATACATCATGTTTGCAAGCAAGTCAGCCTGGCTGCCCTCTTTGTGGGCTGCAGCTTGTGTCTAGCACAGTGGCAGATGGCTTGCATTCTGCTCCATCCCTCGCTCTGGCTGTGTCTCGGGTCGTTCCCCTTTCCTCCTCTGCCCGTGAGCTGAAGTCGGGATGGTGAAGTCCATGAGAGGCCACTCTTCTGCTTTCTGGGGAATGGTAGGGACACCATCTCATGTCCCTGAGGAGGAAGGGTCTGATCTCCACTGTGAGGGCGAGAGACTGGGCCCTCCTTAGGTGGGCTTCTTGCGGCTTCCTCAGGTTGAAAGGCAGAGAGAAGCATATGCTGATAGGAGGGTAGAGAGGCTTCGGGTTCCCATGAACAGTGTTTGGATGACCTAGCCTCTCGTTCCTTAGTGCCTGCTCTGATACCAGGGTGGAGGTTAGAGAGAGGGCTGTACTTCCCAAATGGTAGCTTCCAAATCAGCCTCAAGGGCAGACAGTAGGAGGCAAGGGGAGCCATTCCATTCTGGGGTCCACTATAGACCGAATCCAGATGAAAAGTGGCCACAGCCAGCTCCTGTAGCCCAGTTCTCTCTGTTAAGAAACCAACCATCCCCTCTTCTTCTGCCCCTCTGCAGGTTGTGGGTGGAGCCACAGGAGAGCTGGGCTGCCTGGCATGGAAGGCACGGCCCCCTTTTCTCACTCTTCTTAAGTATTCCTGAGAGACTGGTGAGAACAGAGGCTGCCTGATGATGGGCGTCTTGTTGGAGGACCCAGTGCTGAGGAGAGCCTGCCTGTGTGAGACCCTTTCTGGACTCTCCATATCAGTGCTCATTCCGTTCAGTACACTTCAGGGCTTCAGAACCATGGGGGAGACTTTAGGAGGGAGGAGGAGGAGGAAGAGAAGGAGGCAGGGAGACAAAGGGTGAATGGGACTGTCTTAAGAATGAATGAAAGAAAGGAAAGAAGGAAGGAAGAAAGGAAAGGAAGGAAGGAAAAGGAAGGAAGGAAGGAAGGAAGGAAGGAAGGAAGGAAGGAAGGAAGGAAGGAAGGAAAAGGAAGAAAGGAAGGAGAGCAAAAGGCATGTTAACATTAGTACAATCAGGTGTGGCGGGGTGGGGCAGTCTCTGGGGCAGGGCAGCAGCCGCTGCTGCAGGTCAGATGAGAGCCACGGCATTCTCCTGCAGGCTATATTCCCTGTTCTTCTTCACCCTCCAGCTGATGACAAAGAGCAGCAGTGTGCCCAGGGCCTTGTAGGCCACTTGTAGGCCCAGGTACCTGTGAGGCAGGAGGAGACAGGAACGGTGAGGGAGGAGGGCTCCTCAGCTCATGTCCTTGGACCAGGGACAGCAGGAAGATGAACGCTGTTTTCTAAGTGGCCTAGGAGCTGTGAAGAGCGTTACTCGGTGTCACCTCCCAGGTGGGGGTCACTTTGGACAGACACATGACACTAGTGGTCCTCTGCTCTCCAGAAATGATTCTACTGCCCCAGCTGTCTTTCTGCTGCTAGCCTTCACTGTTTGTCCCCAGTATTTCTAGCCCTTGAGTAACTCCTGCAAGCCCACCTTCTCCACCATTTCTAGATGATGGAGAGATGGCTGGATTTGGCTCGCTGACATAGTTTAGACTCTCTTCCAGAGACCTCTGCTGGGGACCATGCTGGATTCTCCTCTCTCCAAGCAATGGAGACTGCCTGGTATCTTTCCACATCCATAATCTGTCTCAGTCTCCAGTTTACCTTTGGTGAACTTTTTTTTTTCTGCTATGAGTCTCTCGTGGGCTCATGAGGGGACCACTTCAATGCAGGTGTCCCCTCACCTGAATGGTCCCCCAGATGCCTGCCATAGTGACCTCTGCTCTTTGTCCATGGCAGAGTCTTCAAAGACATCTCTCTTATCTTGTCCCTTAGAAGCCTGACAGCCCCCACCACAGCCATAAGGCTGAATAAATAAATAAATAAATAAATCTTTTTAAAATTCCCTGATGGGACCACAGGCCCAATCTCCTAGACACCCCTGTGTGTAGGAGCCCTCACCTGTTTCGGAGACTGTCATTGTCATAATATGCACAGGCCCCTCGTCTCCCTGAGCATAGGTAGTTCCACCGGATACAGGAGGAGTCGATGATGAGGCCATATAGGGCTGGAGCTGGCAGCCAGGCTGGCAACAATGGGAAAGAGATTTCAGAGTGTTTGAGTGATGTGGAGCCACAATGTGCCTGAGCCCCCCCGCGCCAATGAAATGGTCCACACATCTGAAGCCAACTCTACCTCATCCTTGGAATCACAGTGACATGGGAGAACAGAAAACTGCCAGTGAAGCTTGAATTCTCCTTTCACCAGAAGGCTTAGGAGATAAAGAAGGAATCATTTCAGGACAGAATGAATCATGAGGTCAGCCAGATGCCAGCTCAGACACACCACACAGTTCTCATGTTCAAGGTTGGCCCCAAGTAGAGAGTTCATCTTGAGAGTACTAGCATCCCCAAGTCCTCACATGGCCTCCATTGACGAGGGTTTCATTGTAATGAAGAGCAAGTGAGCAAGAGGGCCCAAGGAGGCACCGGAAGCACCAAACCCCATTTTACTGAAGTTCAAATCCCAGGCTCTTCTCTCACTCCAAACTGCCCCACTAGATTAGACAACACCCTTTGGAGACCTAGGCTCCCAAAATGTACCTGAGTGGTAAGGTGTAGTCCATCAGGCACCATACTTTACTTGGTGCTGAATGTTCTAAATACCACCCAACCCCATCACGCTCTTGTGTTGCTAGCTAAGCTGTGGGCAGCCAGTGGGTCAGGGTGGACTTGTCCAGGATTTACAATGGGGACGGGCCATCCCATTCTCAGAAACATGGTGCTGAAAACACCTGATTATCTAGCACCCCGTGAGTTGCTGTTTCTGGAAGAAAGAAGCAATCTAGCCCTGTGGCCCTACCCATACTTGAGAAACTCCCAGGAGCAGCCCCTCAGCCCCTGCTCTCTTTCCGGTGTCCAGGTGAACAGTGGCTGGAACTTGGCCCTAGAGACACATCCCTAAATAGAAAAGAAGCCAAGGAGAGTTTTCAAGCACATCTCAGTGGGTAACTGTAAACCTGCTGGAGTTTATAAATAGGCAATCTTTTCATCTACCCCAGAGTGCAGCTGTGTTCTTAAGCCATGAGTGGAATTCCTCCAGGCCTAGATTTTCTAACTGTGGCCCCACATTGAGTTATCTGAGCTCAGGTGGAAAATCAGAAGCAGCAAGTGCTTGGAGCTGCAGGACAGAGAGGCCTTTCTCTAGGTCACCAATAGAAGAAGCAGGGCAGGAGGTCCTCTGGGAGGAATGCCAGGTCTCTTTCCCTGCCAGGGCATTAGAGTAAGCTATAAACTAGCTATGGATGATAAGTCATAAATAAACACAGGGAGCTGTGCTGACAAGCCAGCCTCTACCCAGACAAGATACCCTGTGTCCCCTGTGTCCCCTGTGTGGCCCAGGAATGTGACCGTTACTTAGAGGGTTAAGGATCCTTCGGAACTTAAAGAGGCTTCGTCACAGGATAGATGGCTTGAGTCCAAGAAACTCCATTGAAAATGCTGGCTCCTGCCCAGGTGACCTCAATAGGAATGATGGCACATGCTGGAAGGATAATGGAAGCCATGGCAGGACAAGATGTGTCCTGTGTCCCTCTATGATAATGCAGAGCAGGCTCCATACAGGTTTCAGTGAGAAGGTGCACATCGATAGTAACTGAAGTCCTTCTGCTCAGAATCTCCAAATCCCCACTCCTGCCGTCCTTAGAGCAAAGATTCTCTGTTGAATCCAGTCTCTTTACTGCTGTTCACCCATCATAGCAAGACCTCCATAGCAAGACCCGTGCTCAGTCTAATGCACGGGTGCATCACGGTTTTCAAAGGGCAGCCCAGGGCTGGCAATCTGGGAAGGCACCTGCTATGTGCTCGCTCACTGCATTCAGGGAAGCCAGATGCCACCTGTTCCCATGGGAATGCTCTCTCCCTGCTGGTCTCTGCTGACCACATGTATGCACAGCTTGAGTGTTGAGATGGGGAGCTCCGTGCTACTTGAGGACAGACAGGGTTCATAGGCAGAGGATCCCCTGACGGAAGAGACATTTGCTGAACCATGGCAGAGGAGAGAAGTCTGGAAAATGGGAAGGAAGCCAGGGCTCAGCTCTGAAGCTCTGTCTGGGGCAGGAATGCAAGGTTTTGATTCCTAGGGCGGATTCTTGGAGAAATATTTAAAAATACCTGCTTTCAACTCTGTGTTCAGCATTCTCATGCCCTTTTCTTTCTCTCGCATAATTTAATTTGGCGTGAATGCTGTAGACAGAATCTTTCCTGATCTCAAGCAATCAGGCAAACTGTCCCTGTCAGGGTTTGGTACCTGCTGTGAGGTATATACAGCTCCTCTCTGCAGCCAAGATGAGACAGGGCTTCCCCCAACCTTCCTCACCCCCCATAGCTTTTAGATGCTCGGGGTCCAGGGCCTCTACTCCAGAAAGAAGGCTCTTAGTTACCTACCCAGCAAACGCATCAACAAGAATTGCACTCCAATGGCAAATGACTTTTCATCCTGGTTCACCACACTGAAAGGGAAAACGGAAAATTAGCATTGGGAAGGTTCTGGGCTGCAGCATCACCTGGAGGGGGTAGGCGAGAGGGGGTAGACAGACTCAGAGCAGGTCAGAACCAGTCCTCGTGCATCTGACCAGGCACATGGCTGATGAGAGTCATCTGATGAATCCTTCTGTTATGCTCATGGTTCTCCAAGCACCATTGCTAGACCAGAGGCATCACCTAGGCTAACGGGTCTTCAAAAAAACAGATTCTCAGCCTGCATGTATTAAAAATATGGATATTCCAGGAAAGGTTCTGTCCAGAGACTACTCGGAGAGAAAGCAGGCAGGAGAGACAAAGAGCAGAAAGGAATTTCTGGCTGGAGGCTTAGGCAGCAGGTCTGAACAACATCCACATCTGAGCAACATCTTGTACCAGGAAAAGAGGACCCGGGGCTGTCAGCTTCTGTGCAGGTCTGAAACAATTCCTTGCCCTGGGCTAGCGTTGTGAGGCATGAATTGAACAGCTGCATAGGATGCCATGCCCGGAAAGGCCCAGCTTTGGTTTATGTATGACTTGAAATTCTTAATGATTCACAAGTCAAAGGCTTTGCAGTTCCATTGGCATCGGGTTCCTGTGGATTCTGCCAATGGTCCTGCTTTTCCCTGCTTTTCCTGAGGGGAGGCAAGGCCAGGTAAAGAGGTTCAGCTCTCCCTAGGGAACTGCCACCTCAACTGGAAAGTGGAAAGAGAGGTGGGCATCTCAGACACAGGGTGGGGAGCTCAGAGCCGAGGTGGAAGTGCCTGCTGTGTGACCAGACTCCTACGTGCTTTCAGCACCCATACTCCTGGGTGGGTGATTATCATTTGAAAAAGAATTCAGAGCTAAGGGGACAGTGAGGAAGAAGACTCAAAAGTAACCTTCCAGATCACTGCACGTCGTTTTACAATTATAAGCAGTCAGCCGGCAAATGGGAGACATCTTCAGGGGATGACCCAGTGAAGGGATGTTCTTTGGGGTTCAAGTAGGAGAGAGAGGCCCCCCTGGGATCTCCCAGCAGACAGTGCCTGGAATCCCAGTTGAATGTTCTTTCCCTCTCTGTCTACAGCTTCCCTGCAATGGTCCAGTCCATAGTGGGCACCCGTGATGGCTAATCTCCAAGGCCTACTTAGGGATCTGAAATCACCCAGGAGACAAACCTTGTGGTGAATCCATGAGGATGTATCCCGAGAGGTTGGATTAAATTGGGAGGACCTTGGTACCATTTAATAGTTTGGGGTCCCGGGATGAAGGGAGCAGAGAAGGTGAGCTGAGCATCAATACCCATCTTTCTGCTTCTGACTATGGAGGTGGCCTCCTGCTCCTACCCCACAGCTAGAACTGCTTTTGCTGTCATGCCTCCGCTGCCCTGATGGGCTGTGTCCTTGGACTGAACCAAAGTAAGTCCTTCCCTCATTAAGTTGCTTTTGCCAGGCATTTTGTCCCAGGAACAAGAAAAATAAGTAGTGCCCCCCCCATCATTGTCCTTCACCTGGGCAGACTAACTCCCACATGTTTTAACTTAGTAAGGCTTGGGCACCCCAATTTGGCTACTGACCAAGCTCCTAGGCCCCTTCTGGCTGTTGCCCCCATCTATCCCTGAATTAATCCTGGGTTTCTGACCACTCTCTCCTTCTACATTGTCAGCTGATCTCTGGGCCACAACGAATAACTAACACTTGGGGCCATTGGCCAAGTTACCTTAAGCCATGTCTTCCCTTCAACAAAAATTAGTCTCCTGTGCACAAAGGCAATCACATTCTTGACATAGCATCTGGACCTTCCTTCATCCCTTAACCTTTTGGGGGAAAAAGGTCTTTGACAATATGGAGAAGACCATCCCTCACCTCCTTTTTGAGGTAGGGCAGTGGTTCTCAACCTTCCTAATGCTGCGACCCTTTAATATATTCCCTTGTGCTGTGATGATCCCAATTGTAGAATCATTTTCGTTGCCATCTTGTAACTGTTATGAGTTGTAATGTTAATTCTGTGGTTTCTGATGGTCTTAGATGACTCCTGTGAAACAATCATTCAATCCCCAAGGGGATCATGACCCATAGATTGAGAATCACTGAGGTGGGGCCTCATGTCATTTAGGCTGGTCTATAACTTACTATATAGGCAAAGGTGGCCTTGAACTCTTGATGCTCCTGCTTGTACCTCCTAAGTGCTGGGTTTATAGGAGACAGCAGCACACCCATCAGAGGAGGACCTTCTATTTACAGAGCAATTGACCCTACAGACACTAACACTTAGAGGTGGGTATCTTCCTGTTATAATCAAGGAAACTGAGGCTCCTCAGGTCAGGCAACACTCAAGACACTCAGGAAGTACCATGCAGGCAGAGACTTCTAATCTGACAGGGAGTTTTCAATCTCTGTGTTTCTTCCTCTTTGCCTTCCAAGTAAGCAGGTGGGAATGGGTGGGAGTGAGTGCTGGGAGGCACGCAGGAGGGGGTTAGGTGAACTTGGGTGAGATTTCCTTCTTTAAAAAAAAAATTCCTTGATAGAATGAGGAAGGGAGAAGCACTCCCTACAAAAACCTTAGAGGCACTTGAGTGTCCACTGTAACTAGACACCTCTCCTGTCGCCACCCTGGCCAGCTCGCCCCTCCCAACCTGAGCACTAGCCTCCTGAAGTTTTCTCATTTTCAGCCCTTTCCAACAGCTTTCGTGCTGCTTCCGGGACCTTCCTCCATGTTTCCGACTTGCTCTTTCATCCAGCTGAATCTCTTTGGTCCCAGTTCTCTTAAGATTGATAAATAAGTGCGTCTATACATATAGCCCGTCTTTAACCTGTGGCTCAGCCTTTTGACAGTTCTGTCATCACGCGCAAAAAATGGGGGTGCCAACAGGGCCTGCATTTCGTGGGTGCTAGGGTTCTTACTGAGGCCACCTTACAAGGAGCTCCTCCTGGGCCTGGGAACACCTGCCATTAGTGTACCTGCTGTCTTCGCACCACGGGACTCTTGCAGGTTGCTCTTAAGTCCCCCAGGGCCCCAAGAAAAGGAGACTATAAGTGGAGACAGGATGTAATGACAGAGGAGGGCCAGAGAGCAGCAACCAGAGTCTCGGAGGTCCGACTCACCGAAGAACCATCATGTAGAGCGGGTTGTGGGAGACGCAGGCGATGAGCGCCACGAAGGAGATGAGGAACATGGATGGGAGCAGGAAGTGTGCACAGGACACGGGGCACGACCCTGTCTTTGCTGACGCAGATCCCCCAGTCACACAGCTGCAGCTCGAATAGATCTTGGAGAACAGGAGGGGGTAGGTCATGATTTCGCCTCCGGATGGTTCACACCACCACACCGGTTCTTGCCACCGACTCCCACCAATAGGAATCCCTTTGCCCTCTCTCCAGCCCTCCAGGGAAAGAGGAAAAGCCTGGATCTGAAGACTGGAGAGGTCAGATGAAGGATTTAAGGTGTGGGGGAGGGGTCCCACCTCTCACATTGTTTGGGCATTAGAAACGATCTCTAAGAGTCCAGCATGGGCTAAATTCCTGCAGTCTCCCCCAAATCTGGATGTCCAAGATCCCACCACCAGGCAAAGCACCTGGAGCCTCGGAGATCTCTCCTCTGGGCCCAGCTAGCTGTGGTGGTTGTACAAGTTGGTATAGGAAAAGGTTTACTTAGAGAGCAGAGGGAACAGCAGTGGGGTCACCTGAACCTTCTGCAGCATTTCCCACCTAGGAGGTGTTCTTCGCTTTAAGAGGGGACCCCTGCCTGGTCATAATTCTGCATGGCTCAGTGCTGTTGTACAACTCATCTGTCGGCCACTGCTCATCTGGTCATCTCTGCCTTCCTCCTTGCAGTGGCTGATGGGCCAGCCCATGATGATGTGAGTGTCACAGCTGGTGTCATAGCTATGGAGCCATGCCAACTTAGGAGCTGGGATGCTTCCCTTGGTCAGACAGTAGGACCCGCGCTCCCACTCTACCTCGACTCTCGGGCTCAGAAGTTTGTAATACACAATACTGCTATTAGCTCCCTCGGTCTGGATTTTAAAATATCAAGAGTTTCCTCCCCCCTCATAATTTTTTTTTCCTTGATATTGTAGTAATGGATTTTATTTTGATGTACTTGTGCTATTATTGGAAGCTTGTCAAGATTATTTCTGGAAGTAGATGAGTCACAGGTAAGTAAATAAAGATAAGAAAACCACAGAAGCCACCATTCTTCCAGTTGGATGGTAAACTAAGGGACCATCTTGTCTCAGCTCCTTACCCCTCTCTGCCTGAGAGCCATGAGAGACGGTTGGGGAAGCAGATTTCTCGGAAGAGGTGGTAAGTGGGGGCTAGCTTGGCCCATAGCCTTCACAATTGGGGCATCCTATGATAACAGCATGGACTTTCCATTGCTCTCACGGGGGCGGGGAGAGGAGCTTACCTCCTACGCTTGCCTGGTCCTGCCCAGCCCTGGCCCTGCCTGGCCCTGGCCCCCTCTAGTTGTGACATTTGTCACTTAGCCCTCACGGAGGCCTTTCCTTGGCTCCTGTGGGGATTCATACCTGGGCTTTGTACCTTCTCTTCCCTTACCTGCAATGGCCTTCCAGGTTTCCACAGTATTCCTCTGCTGTTTGCTCAGGTGTAAGTCACCTCAAGAAGTCCCCTAGATACTCTCTGGGCCTTTATGTGTCTCTGCTTCCACCCCTGCATATATCTTGTGCATTTATGGGACTGAATATAAACTGTGAGCCCAGGGCTTTGTGTCCCGGGCTCATCAACCTCACAGTGAGCCTGGTGGCTGCACCGGTGTTTACTGTTTGCTGACTAGTCCTTTGCTGTTGGCTGATCCCAGAAGGCCTGTGGCCACTGTCCTCAAAGGCTCCAAGAGATTGTCCAAGAATCCATTGTCCAAGAGACACATGGCCTTGATCCTACCACCGTTAAGGTCCATGTTACAGCCGCCGCACCCCCTTCCCCGCACCCCCGCTGCTCCCAGGCCATGTGACTCTGTAACATGGCCTGAGCCCAGAACCCAAAATTCTGTCCCCCCTTCCCCCTTGGGGAGCCATCAGTATCAGTCACAAGTCTCCACCGAGGGCAAATGCCCGGACTTGTTTCCATTGTCTCGCCAAGTCCCCAAGAATGAACTTGTTGGTCTTCCGCCAACCTTTAATTGACTGGGCTGCAGGCACCTGGTCACGACCCAGGAGCAGGGAAAATGAGGAGGCGAGGAGGCTGATACTCAGCATCAGGGCCAAGGAACAGTTTTCGGAGGTTACACACCGAGCCCCAGAGCTCCACGTGGCTCTGTCTGCCCCCGTGACTCCCCCTCGTCCTTACTGTTTGCTTGGAAGCTGCTGAGCTCACGTTGACGCTGCTGCAGCCGGCGTGGCAAGGGGAGAGGTACTCCACTCCATTGTCTCCGCAGACCGGGTGGAAGATGGAATCCGGGCACAAGCAGTCCCTGCGGCAGGCAGGAGGCTGCGGATGTATAGAACTTGATGTGCTGCCAGCAAAACAGGAAGCGAGGAATCAAACAAAGCGAGACCAAGAATCGGCGCTACACTCCAGCTCGGCACGAGTTCCCGGCCTGGCCGATGTGCTTGCATGTCTCTGTTTGTCTTGGGCCAGTGCCACTCTAGGATCTGAACTGAGCCCATGGGAGCCAGTCACAGATCTGCCACTGTAAGGAAATCACGGCCCTCTCCGTTTCTCCCGGCGCTTGGAACCACTAATTACTCAGTTGGAAAGGTCTAGTCAGCAAACCCCAATGCCGCTGTCAGAGTCAAAATGACCAACTGACTGAGACTCTGTTGACAGAAATGGCTGATGCCGCAGCAAAGCCATCGGTAACACTTGCCTTGTCTCGTCTTCCAGCTAGGTTTTGGCTAAAGGCAGTGGCTGGAACCTTTGGAGGCGTCTGAGGTTCTCACTGACAGCTCATCTGAGTCAATATGGACTCTTGGATCTGGGTCTCTCCACCTCCCTACTATGGCCGGAACTTCATCAAAATGGATTTCAGTGGCTGATCTTATTGACTTTCTTTTCGAAGCCATGGCAACTGAGTAGCACATTGATGAAACAATACTAGTGACTTGGTATTTATGGGATGTCACAACAGAAGGGGCTCCTCACGTACGGATAACTTCCTCATAGCAACAGACAGCATCACACCTAGAAGTAAGGCCGGGAAGATGACCAGAGCTGGGACCAAACTCCCAGTGAAAACCACCCAAAGGCCCCAAAGCTTCCGGGCTTCTCTGGGTCCACGGTCAGCCTGCAGAACAGCAGTGAGTTCCCCGTGCTAGGCAATGTTCCCTTCCTTTGTTCCCCTGTCCTCCTTCACCTATCAGATACAGAGGAGGTCATCTCAAACTATTCTTTTGGCTTTTGCCTGATGCTGTTGCCATATTTGGAGATTTTGCCCTTTATGAGAAAGAGAACACACTCAGGCTAAAAGGCTCTGAGTCTCCAAATCTTGCAGACTCCTTAGCAATATCCTAAAAAGGCTGCAGGGTGGTTACAGGAGGTGGGGAAGTGAGGATGGAGGGTGGGCCTGTTCTTTGCTCACAAACTGCCATGCCCGTTTTGAAGATAAAGCTTGACTTTGTTGGCTTTATACAAACAAACTAGTACTCTGACCTGCCCTCCGCCTCTCCTGCCCTAGAATTTTTTTTTTTTTTTATGGTTTGTCACCACTTCCATTGCTCATCTTGAAATCTCTTCAAGTCTCCTCTCATCTTTTTTTGACAGCTCAGTGAGACTCTAATTCTAACTGGCCCATAGCTGACACTACCATCGCTTACTTCCTGGTTCCTAGGGCTCAGGCTCATTCAGAATCCAATCCGATTAGTTTGTGATGTTTCTTACAGAACAGAACCCTGACCCTGACCGCCGGCCGATCTCGTCTCATAATGGAACATACTATTTGAGACCTGGTTTCCTGTGTTGCCATATGAGAGTTCAGATCAAAGTGAACAAGACAGAGGAGATAAAAAGTCAGAGAAGAAAGGTGGGTTCAGGCTGTAGTTACAAGGGGTGTCTCTGCCTTATTCCATTACCTGGGCGGGTAGACCTCAGCCACTGCTGGAGTGGAACATCCCATAAAGAAGAGAGGGGCGCAGAGGATCATGGAGATGGTCATGATGGTGGCAGCCACTCGGGGGATGGTTTGCAGAGGCAAAACAAAGCGCTTCATGAGGATTCCCCCAAACAGCATCCCCAAGGCTGCAGCAGGAAGGTTTACAGCACCTAGGTGAGAAGGAGAGAGGCTGGGATGCACAGCCCTGGGAGCCTTGAGCCACCCCACCAGGAGGGAGCATGGCTTCTCGAAGATATACTTAGTTATAAGAGTAGTGGCTGAGTACTGCGTATTGTTAACTACTGAGTGTTGGCTGGGTACACCCCGAGAATTTGCTTCACTTGAGGGTTGGCTTGCCAGATCAAGGAATAAAGAGGCAGTCAACTCCTGACACCTATAATCCCAGCACTTTCGAGGCAGAGGCAGGGGGATCAGGAGTTCAAGGTCATCCTCAGCTACCTAGCAAGTCCGGTAGGAGACTGGGCTATTCTAGGACTTGTCCCAAAAAAACAGAATTGAAAACAAGATGACAACAACAGAGTAAAGGAGCAGATTATTCACAGGTGGTAATCCCTGATGTGAGCTCAAGGCTAGAGAAATGATGTCACATATGAGGCCATGCAGGAGTTCAGTGAGTATAAGGAGTTACCCTCAGATCTCATGCCCTGATTATCTTATCAAATCTTTGGTCAAATTCGCCTGTGGATTGGGCCTAGCTATTCACCTAGGCACTTGGTGGAATCCCCATCAGTGGTTCTTGGTGTCTACTGGAAGAAGTATGAGCACCCCTGCAATAGATTCTGGGTTCACTAATCTGGATGGGGCCACACATATGTACTGTCATTGTATAAAGGAGCCTGATGAGTCACAGGGTTGGGACTCAAGTTCCTGGAGAAGGAAACCCCTAAGAGGTTCAAGCTCCGTGTACCCTCTCTCCTCTGTTGCCCCTGATAAGGTCATTTGGGAGGATATCAGATAATCACTCTCTTGATGGGAAGGAAAGCAGCCCCCAGTCTCCACCCACTCCTGAATACAAGAATAGGAACCTCAGAAACCTGCCAAAAACATTCCAGATTGCCAACTAGGAAAAATGTCCTTAAAATTCTTTCTCTCGGACAAGCCCTGCTGTCTTCAGTCTGTATCTGACCTGGCCCTCGGTTATCCCTGGATGGACTGTACAGTACCCAGTTCCTCCCCAAGGTAGCACCACCCAGGCCATGCAGCACCCCCTACGTACCGATAAGCAAGTTGGCATAGGCTGCTGTGGTGCCATACTGCTTCTCCAGGAACTTGTTGAGGAACGTAGAGAGGCCAGCAATGACAGAGGAGAAGTTACACTGGCTCAGGACCACCAGAATGAAGAGTGGGTTCATCAGCAGCCTCAGGAAGATACGAGGGAACCCTGTAGGCAGGTGGCTGTCAGGGGACAGGCCTTGGCGAGCACATCACAGGCTTCCTAGAGCCTTGCCGCCACCCTGACTCATCCTCCTCGAGGTCAGCTTCCTCTCCTTCTCGGGCAGAATCGGAGACACCCAGACTCCCAGCAGTCAGCCCCGGGGGGGGGGGGTACACAGTCCTTGGATTCCCACTCACCACACTTGTGGTCTGACTAAGATGCTGCTGGTGGTGGGGGAACAGAAACGGGACTCACACTGGGAAAGGTCTCCTCCCACAACTGCCACCTCTACAGGAAGGGAAGAAAAAAGAAGGAAGTGGAGACTTGGGGTGGTGACTGGCTTGGCCTGAATTGGGGTCTACTGGTCCCTGTAAAGAACCAGTCACCAGGATCCTTGGCAGGTGGCCCCTAAACCGAGGGTGCACCTGGGCGGTAAGGCGGTCACAGACCTTATTGTTTCTTGTTGCCCTTTACCCTGTACCTGGCCTCCTGCCGCCCAGAACCAGCCCACCCCAGGCTGCTGGGGCAGTCAGTTACGTTTAATGAAATCCATCAGGGAGCCTCTTGACTTGTCCTCCTCCATCGTCATTGTTTCATCTGCCATAGCAGACCTCTGAAGACAACAAACATGGTGATGTTAATGGCCCATCCTTGAGCCCTTGACTCTCTGGATTCAGTGATTCACAGAGCACATGTACGTGTGGGAGGGCATCTTGAGAAGGCACTCTTGAAGCAAATACCACCTGTGTTTTCAAGAGCCTGCTGCCTTGGCTGGAGCCCAGAGCAAATCTATGCCAATGCCTCCCACCGTACCTCCGGGCCTATTATTTCATTTGACTTCCCCATGACTGATGCCAAAAGCATCATCCTGGATCCTCTCCCTTGCCTGTATGTCATGATCATACTGTGTCCTGTATGCGGGTTCCAGGGATGGCTGGCTTCTAGGATACAGGTGTCTACAATGTCTTCTGTTTTCAGTGTCTTCTGCCCTTTCTGTGTCTTCTCTGGAGTCCCTGATTTCTCCTCAGTCTAAAGGTGAGTCCTACTCCAGGATCTGTCCTAACCCTTACTTGTGCCTTCTGACAATATTACCTCAGTGCTCTTGCCAATCTCTGAAGTCTGCAGCTCCAGCTGGAGGGCCCAGATCACTATGAGCCACCACATAGGCACAGGCTTGGGCTCCACCATTAGCATCCTTTAGTGCTCCCATTAACCGAGCACTTGCTCTGCCCTGGGCAACATGCCCATCATTCCCCGTGGATTGCCTCCTTCCTCACAGCTTCCTTCCCAGACAGATTCTTTAATTACCCCCAAAAATTTATAAGGGAGGAAGCTTAGAAACAAAGCAACTTGCCTAATGTCATTCAACTAGTTTATGAGCAGAACACCCTTCAAGCTCAGATCTCTCTAACTCTTAGCCTCATCAAAATATGCTATAACCTCTTAACTGCTTTTCTGGATCTCTACCCACACCCCCATTTCCTACAGTGGAGCCTAGTTCTGACTCAACTCATAGACACAAAACATGAGCTCCAACCCAATTCACAGCCATGTCTGCGTCATCACTCCAGGGACAACCAGCTAGGCCTTTACCCCTCTGATGGCCATTGCCCTGGCCCTCAGCCGTGTTTTCCATCTTTCTCCTGAGCCTCTCAGATCTCCAACGTCTCATTCTTTCATGATCTCAGTCTCAGCCAACTGCCATATTTCACTAGGTGGCGACACAGTCACCACAGTGCCTGGAACTCACTCACAGGAGAAAATGTTTGGACTTTTGATCCCACATCAAGGCTCCACCCAGACTCCTCTTTGCTGCTTCCCCTTCTCATTTTCCTGGTTCCTTTCCCCATCAGATATTATGTAGCAAGGAGTCTGAAATGCTGGTCTCTTAAAAAAAGAGAAAAGAAAAGAAAAGAAAAGAAAAGAGAAGAGAAAAGAAAAGAAATACTATAAGAATATGTTTTCGTTTTTAATCCCAGGTGTGGGGGATGTGGGGCTGTTTCAGACTGTCCGAAGCAGCTGACTACAATTTGCCTCGGGCTCTAGCAGAGGTGTGGTTTTGCCTGCTGCAGATAGTTTCTGTGATTGTGTGACAATTGGAATTCTGGGAACTTTTCGGAGGGTAGATAAACGCTAGAGCCCCGCTAGGCAGGGTCAGTGCTTGTTGGTAGTTCAAGGGTTGATTGGCGGTTTGTTAGTCATGCTCAAAGAAGAAGCAAGAAGAAAGAAATTAGATTCAAGGATCTCTGTCTCTCTGTCTCCTCTATCTTTTCTCTCCTATCCTTTCTAGGGATAGGGGTGAACCCATGGGGATAAAGCGTTTGAAAAAGAACACGCAAAATAGTAAAAGACCAATTACAATACAACCCTGCCCGACAATGCTCCACTCAGCCCTTGCTTGCACCATGCCCTCACGCTTCGAGTAGACTCCACTTCTCACCCAGGCTTTCAGGCTCAATCCTTAGTAAGCTCCACTGAATGTACAAATCAGTTATGCCTCGCCACCTGCTCAGCTTGTGTGTGTGTGTGTGTGTGTGTGTACATGTGGAAGCTAGAAGGAAACCTTGGGTGTCAGCCTTCTGGCACCATTCATCCTGATTTTTTTTTTTTTTTTGAGGTTTTTATGTGACCGGGAGCTCTTCACATTGACTGGCTGACTAGTAAGCACCAGGGAATACTTTCATTTCTGTTTCCCCAGCACTGGAATTGCAATTACACATCACCATGCTTGGCTTTCCTTTCCTTTTCTCTTTTCTTTTTTTTCTTTCCTTCCTTCCTTCCTTTCTTCCTTCCTTTCTCTCTCTCTCTCTCTTTCTTTCTTTCTTTCAATGAGGTTGTGAGAATCAAGCTCAGGCCCTCATGTTCGCACGGCAGGCCCTTTATGGACTGAGTTATTTCCCTATCTCCCCATCCCATTGTTCATTTTAGATTGTTTCACAACTCTTTTAGCCCAGCTTAGGTCAACTCAAGGATTTCCAAACTGTGTTCTCTGAAACCCTTCTGGTCTTTGAGATGACAGCATGGTAAGAGAACACTGCAGTCTCTGATAATCCCTGAGACTTGTTTTCATTTCTCTCAGTTTGCTGAGTTTCACAGGGTTGCTATTTTCCAGCCCTGTGTCTTTTGCTTAAGTGGCTACATCCACAGCATTGTGGCTCTCGGAAACTCACCTCTGCTCCTCTGGGCATTGTTTGAGGAAAGAAAAAAAAGGGCAAAGAAGTGACAATCAAGAGGCCTGAGGAAATGAGCAGGCCCAGCCACCAGGCTCCGATCCATCGAGGGTCCCCTGGGCTCAAGTTCACTGAGGCTGAAAAGAAGACAAAGGGTCAAAGTATCTGTTGGTTGAATGCGTGATCTAGTCTGGTTCAGGGGGTGTTTCACTGACTTTCTTCCCACAATGGTGACAAGACACGTCATGATGTAGGACCCTGAATCAGTACAGCACTCCCTCTCTAGGCCTTTCTGGTCTTCCCAGAGCACCCCAGCCACTTCACAGAGAGGCAAACACTAGAAAAATCCCCAGACCTCCCCTCACTGTGTTTCCTCTCTAGCTCTTGGCAGCAATAATGGGTGAAATGATCTGGTCTGAAATGAACCAGAGGGCTGACATGGTTCATGCACTATACACTTTACCTCCATTATCCTACTGGCTCCTCTAGTGTGTCTGTGGAATAGGAGTTACACACATCTGACTTCCTCTAACAACCAGGATACCAAATCCCTTTTCATTAGTCATTTTCTTTTTTAATTTTTAAAATGTATTACAATTTATTCACTTTGTATCCTGGCTGTAGCCCCCTCCCTCAACCCTTCCCAACTGTTTCCTCCCTCCCTCTTCTCCTTCCATGCCCCTTCCCCTAGTCCACTGATAGGGGAGGTCCTCCTCCCCTTCCAGCTGACCCTAGCCTATCAGGTCTCATCAGGATTGTCTGCCTTGTTTTCCTCTTTTCAAACCCTAACTTGTACCCTTAACCACTGAGCTCTATCGTATCCTACTTTTCAGGGTTCCTAAGAAAGGAGGTCCCATGATTCTTAGGAACCCGAAGATATAGCCATCAACAAGGCAGGTTGCCTGGCCTCCAAAAAAGAAATGTTCCTCTGAAAATTTGCCCCACACTCTATCTAGAAGCCTCCATTGTGTTCCTTGACATCAAACATGGACACAGAAGGAGGAAGAAAGTGGCAGAATGGTTTCCAGTCACTCAGTGACTGGCACCCCTGGGCATTGTCCCATGTGGACTGATAGCTCCATTGCTGGTCTTTTCAGGCATCCAAGAGGGAGAAGATAAGTCAGACACACCAGGAAAAGGGTGATAAGAATTAGTGTCCTCCGCATACCCACCAGTGTCCACTCTGCCAAAGTCCACGAAGATTCTCAGCATGACTGAGCCCAGCAGGTACCCAAAAGCCGGTCCAAACACAGCGATGGCAAATAAGATGGCTGGAAATTGAAGCAAGGGATGAAAGGTTGGGGGCAATGTAGAAGTTCAGCAGCCCTAGTCTTCCAAACCGAGGGAGATTCCCAAACTGTCCCCTGGGAATGAGGAGCCCATGCCTATGACACCCCCTGAAGCCCACGCCTGTTACATCTTCTGTGGATAAGGGCCAGACGCCAAGGCTTGCAGAGCCAAGACTGCTGCTCTAGCACCTGCCAGAGAGATCTGCTGGCCTGGAACGAACCTGCCTCCACAGTATGTTTAAGAATGCCAGTCCAGGGTGTGTTACGGATGGAGCTCCCTACGGGTATGGTGCTGGCGGCTCTGGCAAATGCTTGTGGAGTCACAGATGCAGTCTGTGACGTGAGAAAGCTCCATGTGGCTTTTTATAAGGGAAGGCATTGGGTACCAGGTGACCATCTGCTACCTGCTTCACACATGCCAGCATGTCCACAGCTCAGAGAATTGGTGTACCACCCAGCAGGAGCCTGGAGAACTGGCTAATCTGTTGGGGATCGACAGAGTGTCTAACCCACGGCTCATAGGCCACAGGGGATCCAGGATAGCTGTGAATGTGGCTCATACAAAATTCAAGCTTACCTAAAGCGTTACATGATTTTTGTTGTGAACTTGGTAGAACACAATGTCCTGCCATGATGTCAAAGGCTCAAAACAGGGCTGAATGGTGATCTACATCAGCTCACATAACCTCTGTGTGTGTACATGCACACACAAAGAACCTTAGTTCTGTCCTCCAGTAAGAGCCTGGGGATCTAGGTTAGCCACTTGAGGTCCATACAATTGGAAGGACGCTGAGCTGGCATTCACAACAGGTCTTCAACATTGACCATGACGAACATAAGACCCAATTTCAGCCCCAAGAGCTCCAGCAGGTGCCCTATCAGGCGCTGGCTCTCCACCCCTCACAGCCCTGCAGAAGCTCAGGACTCACAGATATACAGAGGCGAGTTGGTGGGCTCTGCAAAGTCGTCCACATAGGAGATCCCAAATGGCTGAATGGGCACTGTCCCCACACCGGCCAGCAGCTGAGCAATCACCATCAGGCCCCACATGCTGCTGGTCTCCTTTTGCGTGTCTGGCACAGTGCTGTGGCACTTACTGGGGAGCAGGTTGGGCAAGTGCTTCTGACAGAGGTTGGTTGGGGAGTGGCTGCTGTTTCCTGCAATGAGCATGCACACTGGTCACCACCACCGGGTCTCCCGTCCTTTCTCCCAATCCCAGCAGGAGGGAAGGAGGGCTAGGGGATAGGAAAAGAGGGTATGGCCCTTGAGGAATAGTCCTCTCCTTGGTTGGCAGAAGGGGCCGGAGACCAAGGTGAGAGTAAGGCAGGCTGCAGTCCCTGCAACAGGAGCAGCTCTGCCCAGGAAGGAAAAGGAGCACGTTTCTCTTCCTCTGCTGGTGCTGGCAACAGGCTGAGCACTGGAAGAAAGCGCTCACCCATCTGGAAGAGGGGATCCAGTCAAATGCTGAGTTCTTCTCCTCAAAAGACCATATATGTCTCCACCAGACCCCTGGTCTTTTGAGGACTTGCTCTGGTCCACCCTAAGTCTTGACCCCCCTGGTCCTTAACTTCTGCACAACCCCAGGACCACATCACATCGAAGGACTTGCTGCCAAAGTATTAGTGACCTGACCACACCTGGGCAGCTCCCCAGAATCGTAGACTCTTAAGCTTCTCCGCATTTGGCTGGGATCATATGAAGAGTCACAGGCTCTGAAAACAAGGGGATTTGGAGACCCTCTTCTATTACAGATCAGGGAGCTAGACTGCACCTGGAGGTCTTTCTTGGAGGGCTCTAGCCATCCCAGGATGGCCTTTGGACGCTGTGGTTCTTGTGGCTGTAGCCCGTGCCAAGCCTGGCAGCTGCTTCCATGCCTCTGTTTTCAATTTGGCCCGGACCAAACAATCAGTATTGTCAGCTTTCCAAGGCCTTGAGGGGTTAGAGGGACCTTTTCCAGTTTCCTTTTATTCCTGCCTCATTCTGGCCAATGGAAATCACTGATGTCACCAATCTCCTTCTGTGGGGTTTTTCACTAACACTAATGGAATCGGTTTAATTCCTACTCATGATGTTCCCAGATGTATGGCCCTGAGCTAGGGGCCCCAGAGTCCCCAGGAGAGGAAAAGTGAGGGCTGTGGAATAGATGGTGGGGATGGGACAGCAGCTCTGCCATCCCTGCTGCCCCTATTCCTTTTCCATGCAGGCCTCATCTGGCCTCACCCTATCACTGCCTATTCTCAGTGCAGGGTCTATATGAGACCCATTTGCAAACTTCCAGCAAAGGGACTCTTTCCTTGGCCACCTTTAGTGAGTGTCTTTCTGTGTCCATTGCCTATTCAAGAATAGTTTAAAGGTCATCTGAAATCCAATGATAATGTCACAAAAGAGATGTGAAGAGTTGTCCCCCATGCCCAGCTTGGCCACTGGAGACCCACATCGTGATCGGGGAGGCCATCTTCAGGACAGCAGTGTAGGTGGCACCTGCCTCTTCCTCTTTAGTCTCTCTGTCATTTGGTAGTGACCATGAAAGGGCCCTCTCTGTGCAAGTGACAGAAGGACACAGGCCTGGCCCTTACACATTTTTCAACCCGCCTTGGCCCCCAGGGTTGTTAAAAAGGCAATCACGGTATTGCTTCACCAAATCAGAACCAAGATGAGATATCACTTAACATCCCACAGGATGGCTGTCATCAAAAAGCAGGAAAACAGCAAATGCTGGCGAGGACACAGAGGCAGAGAGACCCTTGTGCACGGCCGGTGAAGCATGTGAAATGGTACAGCCAGTCTGCAAGACGGGTTCTAAAATCAAAAACAGCATCACCATATGATCCAATAATTCCCGTAAGAATCAAAATAATTAGAAGCAGAGAATTTTGTTGTTGTTGCTATTTTGTTTTGTTTTGCTTTTGTTTTCAAGACAGGGTCTCTTTGTGTAGCCCTGGCTGTTCTGAAACCCACTCTATAAACAAAGCTGGCCTTGAACTCAGAGAACTGCCTGCCTCTGTCTCTCCCCAGTGCTGGGATCAAAGGCATGAGCCACCACTGCCCTGGAAGAGATCTTCATGTTCCCATATTTGTGGTACCATTTTTGGTGAAAACCAAGACAAAGAAACAACCCAGCAAATAAGCCACCCATGGTTTATTCAATAGGATATTATTCAGCCTAAAAAGGAAGCAAATTCTGCTATATGCTAATACAGATGAGCCTTGAGGACACTGTGCTAAGTGAAAGAAGCCAAATACAAAATGGCAAGTCCCATCTGACTCCATTGATAGGAGGCTTCTAAAGCAGTCAAACTCATAAAGACAGAGGGTACAATGGGGTTTGCCAAAGGCTGGGGAAGAAAGGAATGAAGCCACTGTGCATAATGAATTCAGATAAGAATGTTCTGGAGGTGATGGCCCGTGATGGCCGCACTTAGCGTCTTACCAACACGCATGCATCTTACAACGGTAGAATGGTAAATTTCATGTTACGTATTTCACCACAATTGAAAAAAAAAAATACTGTCAAGCACACACTAGGACAAGGGGGCAAAGGGAGGGTAAATGGTGAAGTCAGAAAACTCAGAGTTAGGGGTGGGGAGGGGCTTGGAACAAGTTTCCTGGAGAAAGAAGCCTCTGAACCAAGAAGGCAGCAGAGTGGGAAGTCAGGGTGTAGCTCGGCACTCAGTAGGTATGCGATGCATATGGCCTAGAGTGCCTTGGGAAGGGGCCTGCATTGTACCCCAAGGACACTCCCAGATGGGCGAAGACCCTGACAGGCCAATGCAATAAATTTGCTGAGTGAACTAAGGCCCGGGTTCCAAAAGCTCTGATGGAGAGGTAGGAAGTCCCTCAGCCAGAACTGCCTAGAGCTCAAACAGGCGAGGCTGCTGCTGTCAAAGGAGCGTCAGGGCTTGCAGGGCTCCGTGGTTGAAAACATACCCAGGGTTGGACTGCAGTAGGAGGATGAAGGGAATTAGAGGTGGGGATGGGAGGGGGCCGATGACAATGACTTGAGGAACTCTCTGGGGGAAACAAAAGGACCAGAGAACAGAGTTTATTCTACTTCCTGATTTTGTTCCTCCTCATTATTCGACTAAACTCACATTTATGAGAACATTGTTGCTGCCTTGGCTGGCAAAAGCACTTTTTTGTGAGACATTTTACGGTCATCAAAGATCATAAAAACATCGACTGCCTTATTAAGTCTTCATGTGGCATATTGCATGGTGTGCCAAAGCCACAAAAATCCCCATGAAGTTTCACCTAATGAAGTGTTCAGCAGCCCAAGTCTCTGAGGATTGTTTCACTATTATTAAGTTTAAAAATGTCAGTGTGCCAGTCAGAAATGCCTCTTACTCAAAATATGTTTGAAAAAAAAAAATATCAGTTGGCTCCAATGACATTCAAGTCTCCAAATGCTCAGTGGCTTCATTCTGTTTCCCACATTGATTCAGGATCTCCCTGGAGAACGTGCCTTTCCCGATGCCAGCCCTGAATGGGGCTCAAGCCTGTTCCAGCTGTGACCCTTATGAAAGGGGACGGTAGTTAGAGCTGAGGAAACGGCTCAGTTCATAAAGTGCTTGACCTCATAAACATGAAGACCTGAATTTGATCTCCAGAACCAATGTGAGGGGCTCAGCGTGATGGCACATGCTTTCGATGCCAGTGCAGGAAAGGTGGGGATGGCAGGGGATATGGCTCCCGAGCCTAGTCTAATTGACAAAGCCCGAGTCCCAGTGACAGAGCATGTCTCAAAAAAACATGGTGGATGACTATCCTGAGGAACATAACCCAAGATGACCTCTGGCCTCCAAATGTACCCCCTACACACACACACACACACACACACACACACACACACACACACAAGCACACACAAATACACACACATGCACAAACATATACACGTACATGCCTACACACAGACACATACAACAGTAGTTACATGAAGCCCCTTAGGACAGGTTCCCTCCCCCCACAGCTCAGAGGAGCAGCAGCTGGATACCTTGGAGGTGGTAAGCACTGAGCTGTGGAGCCTGGAGGGACAGAGGAAAGGAGTGGGTAGGATGTGCTGAGAAAATCTGTTACTCCCTGCCCTATGGGACAGTTGACATCAGTTGGATCCTTATGTGGGGACTTGGGAACAAGCCAGGGAGCCCATGTAAGTGGGTATCTCTGACCATCACACCCTGGGTGAGAATAGGGTCTTAGATTTTTAGACCATTAAGCTCTTTTCTTCAAAACCAAAACAAAACAGCGTGAAGGAGGGGCGTTACAGATAGCGTACTAAAGAGGCAAAGCACAGGCTTTGGAGGGAACCATCCTTACGGGCAGGTTCTCAACAGAGACAGTGACAGAGTATGTCGTTGGTTTTCTGGGCTGGAGACACCCCCCCCCCTTTCCTCCTGCAGCAGAGTTCTCAGCTTTTTTTCCCCAGAGGTTTGAGCCCATGTACAGGATCAACATTATGTCATCATGTCTCAAGTCACTGGGGACTTTCAGAGCCTTCCCTGGCTGCTCACTGTGATTAAGGACATGGCCCAGTCATGTCCTTAAAGTGATGGCCATGCAGGCATGCAGACCTCAGTCAGCACACAGAGAGAGGATGTCAGGCAGGGCAGCATGCACCCACAGCAGGAAATCCAACCACTGAGGAGGCAGAAGCAGGCCAATTCCTGGAACTCACTGGCAAACAGCCTCGTCAAATAGGTGAGCTCTGGGTTCAGTGAGAGAGGCTGTCTAAAAAGACATACAGTTAAGAGCGATGGAGAGAACACCTAACATTGACTGACAGCCTCTCTCACTGAACCCAGAGCTCACCTATTTGACGAGGCTGTTTGCCAGTGAGTTCCAGTACATACAAACACACTTATATGCGTTCACCTCACACACAAATTAAAAAATGTTTTATAAATCTATTTGTTTCACGTGTACGTACTTTATTTTTATTGTATTTATTGTATGTATATATTTATGTTCTGCCTGCGTGTATGTGTGTATTAACCATGTGTGTGTCTGGTACCCTTGGGAATCAGAAGATTCCCTGAAACTGGAGTTATGAATGGTTATGAGCCACCATGTAGGTGGTGGGAACTGAAACTTGATCCTCTACAAGAACAAGCCCTCTCAATCACTGAGCCATCTCTCCAGTCCCACATTTGGGGGATGG